CCCCAAAACCCCAAAACCCCAAAACCCCAAAAAAAATTTACAAAACTGAAAAAAAAATTAGAAAATGGCTAAGAGAAGGAGTAGCAACCCTATTGAGGACAACTTTGAAGATCCTAGCGACTGAGAATCAGTCAGCTCGATTCAGAGAAGGGCAGAAATCTCTACTAAGCACGTTGAGTTTAAGGACGAATACTGGCAGGATATCCCAAAACATATAGGAAGCAAGCGTCGTTCTTAACTTGTAGAATATAACGAGAATGAATTCTTCTTCATGAAGAATACCGAGCTCTCGAGAGAGCTAGGTATAGCCAATAAGAAGATCGCAGCGTTATAGAAAGCAAGCTTAAAGTCCAAAGATATGCATTTGAGGAAAAGATTAAGAATATGAAGCAGATTATTAGAAATAAGGTAAGAAAATAGACATTTTGAAGGAAAGGGGGTGTCTAACGGTTGGAATGAGGTGTTTTAGGGGTTAGAATTGGTATTTACCCCCTAGGAGAGGGATTAAGAAAGGTGTTAAAATATCATTTGGGTTCTTTTTGGTAATTTTATGGTATTAATTTATGATAAAGATTATGGCAGAAGCTACTCTAAAATCAAAATCAATGCAAGAATTGTTCATCAAAGAAACAAACAACATGCTTATCGACTACAGATTTCAAAGAACTGGTAAGGTACCATCATCACCACAGAATTGCTCCAAAAAGACCATGCTGTGTCTAAGCTCATTCAGATAATAATTAACCAGGAGAGGTCACTAGAATCAACTAGGAAAGAGCTTGAGGATCTTATCACCCAGAACCCGTTTATCTTAGCAGACTCTATTGCAGATGTCCGTAAGAAGTATCAAGCGAGAATTAGAGACAACCCGTTGGCGATAGGTAATTAGGATGTGACCTGTAGGAGAGGAAGATTTGAAGAAGATGAGGAGGACTCAGCTGGAGCTTAACCAAGTTAGGAAGGAGTTTGAAGCTCTTAGAGCGGTGTCTGAACTTACTGTTCAAGATTGGCAAAATGGTAAGTTTTATTTGAAATTTTTGAAGGCTAAGTACATTATATTCCTCCTATAACCCAGCATCGCCAATTTCCAAGCTAAAAAACCTTAAATCCAAAATCTGACCTGTCAGAGCCATATTTAGCCCATTTTGGTTATTTTAGATATTAAAAGGCTTAGAGTGAATTTTGAGGGGCAGTGATGAGATTTTTATAGCAAATTCAGAAGTGAGACGGTATAAGTAAGGTTAAAAGGGTACTGATGGTGGGAAGGAGGGGTTTAAGGGGTGTAGGAAGGAGAATGAGAGGATTAAGAAGGAAATGAGTAAGGTTGATGGAATAGCAAATGAGAAAATTAGAAAAATTGAGGAAGGTGAGAGAGGAGAGGTGTTTGGAGGGGTTTTGAGAGTTTAGAAGTGGGGTTTGGTATGTGTTGGTTTTTGGATAGGGTGATTTGGAGGTATAGAAGTTAAGTTTAGAGGAATAATATAAACAGTTTTTAATAATTTATGAAATATTTATATAAATTATTACAAATCAAAAATTATATTTTCCTTGCTTCATTTCATTTTTATCTAAAGCTATCTCTCTTAACTTGTGAAATTTTAGAATACAAAGCAAAATTCGAAGCCCTCATGACTGAGAAAAATAGATTACATGACTGATTCAAAAATGAGATCAAGCTCAAGGACCTTATCATCAAAGTACTCTTCCCTTTACCCATAGAGGCATAAATAAGTACACTAAAGTTCTTCAAAGTGAGTTGATATTAGCAAAAGAGATAATCAAAAATCCAAATTATTTTAATAAAGTGCACACCGAAATGAAATACAAAAGGGTTGATCTATCAAGGATCCAGAAAGCAACTGCTACATCCCCTCAGAATATCAGAGCAGCTGGTAGAAGACAGGCATCGGTTGATCTGAATAAACCTCTTAAATTTAACTTTTCAAACAACAAAGTGACCCTATCACCCCAGCCAACTTCTCTAAAGACTAGGAATTTCGCTTTCTGCTCTACCCTTAGAGGCCAGCAACCTTCACTCAGGAGTAGAAGAGTAGGAAATGTGATGAACACGACATTCTCTCCAAGGGATACCTTGGAGATAACTAGTGAAAACCAAAATACCTTATCAGATGCTCATGATATGTATATCCCAGGTCATAATAAGACAAGTATCAAAGTTTCTCTTCGGCTTTAATAGATAAATTAATACAGCAATAAGCCATTTTTCAACCAGACAGCTAATAGAAGGGGTTTTGGGGTTTTGGGGTTTTGGGGTTTTGGGG